ACCAAACAACATGTATCTCATTATAAAACTACAGAAAAAGCAAAGAAATCTTTTCTTAAAGGATATCCGCAGTTATATCAAATGTAATGAATCCCAGATCACTTCTTTCTCTAGGTCCAGTGAAGTCTTCTACATTTTTTCTAGAAGTAAAGATAAAAGTTTTACCATCCTTTAAACATAACATACAAAATTCACATAATTCCTTAAAGTGAAAAACAGAATCTTATGTGCACAGGTGAAACAGCAATCCCACAAAGAAACAAGTAAAAATCAAAGAAACCTGCAAGTATGAAAACAGGATAAACATTCTAATCCAATATAAATTAGGTATTTAGCTATTTTCATATACCTTAAGAGAATCTCTTAACAAAATCTAGGGGGAGATTAAAACTGCTAAAAGGAACTGTAAATACTTGGTGTATAGTAATCTTGCAGAGTGGGCAGAAGAAAGTTACATGTGACTTGCAAGGTAGTATGTAATAATAAGATACAGCAGTCCTGTTATCTGAGGTTTCAGTCACTTTCCAGATTCAGTTATTCGAGATGAACCTAGTGCAAAAATAGGTGAGTACAGTACAATAAGATATCTTGAGAGAGAGGGAGACCACACTCACTTAACTTTTATTATAATATATTGTTAAAATCACTCTACTTTATTATGTTATTGCTGTTCATCTCTTACTGTGCCTAATTTATAAACTTTATCATAGGTATATATGTACAGTATTGGAAAAAACCGTATATAGAGAGTTGGGTGCTATCTGCGATGGCAGACATTCACTGGGGGTCTTGGAATGTGTCCCCCCCAACAGGGGGACTCCTGTAAACAGCTATTTATTCCTTACTAAGTGTCAAATTCATTATGTATTTTTCACAATGATTTCAAATAATTCTCACAACAAGCCTACCAGTTTCCATCTTAAACAGAAGGAAATTAAGGCCCAGAATGGTAAGAAACTTGCTCTGTCAAGACAATAGCTAACATCTGCTCAGTGCCTAACATGCGCCTACCTCTTCTAACCCTCACCGAGCTGACAGTGCCAGTGCTGATTTCCGCCCATGTCTGTGTGAACCCCGAACAGTAGCTAACAAACATCAATATGGGAAAAAGAACAAAAAAAAAAGAGGAGGGGCTCTCGCCATTTGATGACTGGCTTGTTGGTGATTCTGACAAAGAAATAAACTAAGGTTGAAGAACTTGTTGGAAAATGGAATAGAGCAGAAGGGTATGAGAACCAGAAAGAAGAAATGTGACGTACCAAAGACAAAAGTGCCAGAAAATAAAATCAAGGGCAAAATAGGCAATAGCGAAAATGGTACTGTCATTCCGAAATTCTATTTTTGGCGTTTTCACAGATTTATTCGAACGCTTGGCTCTTAAAGAAAAAAAAACAAAAACCACCCAACAACAGAAAACCCCGCTGTGTCCTGCATCGGAAGGCAAAGATGCTTAATTCTTTCAGTGCATCCTAACATCTCTTGCCAACTTCAAAGCAGCTGCAACTATTTACCGCCTTCTGAAGGTGGAAAGACAAAAACTGTAAAGGGAATGTCAAACAGGACAAACTCTGTTATAAATGGCACAAAAGCGATTGGCTCGTTAGCCCCGAGCACAGCAGGGCCGCGGAGCAAGCCCGCCAGCGCCCACCGAGCCAGAGGCGGGGACCCCCACCCGGCCCCCGGACGCCCGGGCCCGCGAGCGGCGGCGCGGCTCTGCTGTTGTGTTGCTCCCTCATTGGCCAGGCGGGTGGAGGGAAGTGAGGAACAGGAAGGAAGCGGAGGCACTGACCTGAGGAACACTCGAAATTAAAATTTAAGAGCAAGCCCGGGAATTTACGGCGGGGGATGAGAGTCCGGAACAGCCCGCGAGGTCCACCCCGACGGCTGTCCCCGGGGGCGACTGGCCGCTCAGGAGGGGGACCCCGGGCGGCGCGGACGCCCCCTGCCCGCGGCTCCGGCGCTGCGGCCCGGCTCCGGCCCCCGCCCGGCCCGGTCCCGGCGCCCTGCCCCGCTGGCCGGGCCTCGGCCGCACTCACAGCATGATCCGCGAGACGTGCAGCCGCACCGGGACGCTCCTGTCTTTGAAGGCGGTGGTGATGAAGCAGCCGAAGGTGAGCGCCGCCATCACGCTCAGCGAGAAGGCGAACAGCGAGTTCGCCCGCGACAGAACCGTGTTCATCGCGACCGTCTTCCACCAGCCCCGTCTCCACACGCACGGACACCCAGGCTCGGGTTCGGGCGGCGGACAGACTCCCTACGATCCGCGCCGCCTGCGGTGCGCGCGTTCCGGGAGCGCGCGCCGCCGCGGTCCCGCCCCCCTTCCGGTCCCATGAAGCGAGCGCGCGCGCACCCGCCTGCCAGGACACACCCACCGGGCGGGCGGAACCGCGCCGAAAGAGAGCTACTGAGCCGCGCGCGGGCCCGCCCCTCCCTCAGGGCCCGACGCTGCCGCCAATCGGCGACGAGCGAGGGAGGGGCGGGGTCTGTCACGGAAGACCCGCCTCTTCCCCTTCTCGCTTCCCCTCCTCTAACCCCTATGGTTCAGATGTGAGGGCACAGGTCCTTTCCCCTCCTTTCTGTGTTCTTTGGTCAAGAGGTCTGGGACTGCAGCTTCTTGATGGCTTATGTGCCCTTGATTTTTAATTGAAACCAGCAACAAGGCAAGGTGTTTTGGATTCTATCCTGAAACGTCGTGTTTGGAAGCAGCACTTTACAAACGCCTTGTCCTCTCTTCCTTTGTCAAACCCTAGTCAAAGTTAGGACTTCGGCTGCTTTTGAGGATCTGGGGAAAGGGAGGAAATGAGGCCGCCCAGGTCCCTAGAAGTAGTCAAGTGCACCGACATTTCACCCTTTGCTTCCACTTCAAACTTCAGTCCGATTCTTACTAATGCTTTGCTGTTTTAGAGGATAACGATTGATGCTACCAATTCTAAATATTTGCATTTTAACATGATGTTTTTCCGATAACTAAAAGAATAACCTCCCTAGGTTCTTAGGATGAAAGGACATAATGGCTGTGGAATTGCTGTAACAGCACAATGTGTGAGAATTTAAAGTTAACAATAACATCAATAAATAATGCACCTAATTGATCACATTTCCATTACCCTTAAGGGCTTTAGGGTTCAGCCCATGACAGTCCCTGACTAACTGCCAACACCTTTGTTCCTTTCACAGCTAAGGGCTTTTGTAATTATAAAAATGGGATTCAGAAGGTCCACTGAAATTATTTTCTTTAAAGTTTTGCACCCGTAAGAAGTTAAGAATACCTGTCCTAGAATATGGTAGGTGCAAAACAGAAGACAATGAAGATCTGACCCTGATGCGGCTTATATTGTCTATGGTTGAGCCTTTTCTTCTTTGCATTATTCATTACCATTTTATTAATTTTCATACAGCCATACGGATAGGATTATTACTAAGTGCCTCATGTGCCAGGAATAGTTCTAAGCCTTGAGAATACAGCGATAATAAGGCAAAGTCCCTGCTCACATGGCATAGAGCCAAGTAATGAAAAATGGATAAACTATAGGCTAAGGAGAAATTAGTAGTTGAGTTTAAAATCTTAGTTTTTATCTTCCAGGCAGCCACAGTTTATTCAATAAAGCAAATATTTACTGAATGCTACTGTGCTGCAAGTGAAACAGAGATGTGTACTAATCACTTTCTACACTCATGAAGTTTATAATCGAGTAGTTAATAAAATAAAAACACAGAAATATGAAATATACAACATATAAATACTAAGGGAAGTTACAGAGCAAAAGAGGAAGAAATCACATCTGTGGTGACGTGATTTTGCATAATGTGTGCAAAATATTTTGCTCAGTGCCTAAACAATACACATTAGTTATTACTCTTAGTACAGAATGCCTTAGAGAAATGATGCTTATATGGTGATGTCCAGGAACAATTTCCCAAAGATCTGGAACTGCAAGTCTGGGTATATCTAAGAGAGAGCCAGTAGTCCGGTCCAGACAAAGGATGTATGTGTAAAGGATTAGGCAAAAATAAGCCTGGAAAGGTAAATTATTGTTGTAGAAAACCAGGTCAAGAAGTTAGGACTTTATATCAAGGAAATTGCATGTTAAACAAGATTAGCATCACTAAACAGGCAGCCATTTATTTGTTCTATGTGGAGGGTTGGGCTGAATATGATGACAGTGGGACAGAAAAAAAGACCTGTAGGAGTGATATGTCAACGACAAAATCTATGTGACTTAGCAACTGCAGAATATAGAGTGAAAGTAGACTGTGAAAGCATAAATGAAATTAATATTATGACACCATGGTTTTGAACTTGATAGTTAGGAGTGCCAAAAACACATAAAATCCGCAAAATGAACAGATATGGATGGGATAAGGAATTCTCTCAATCTGTTGTATATTTCCAATTGTTTCTATGGATTTTCTAGATATTTAATTATATCATCTACATTAGATACCATTTTGCCTTTTCCTTTCCAGTTATTATATTTCTAATTGTTCATTTCAGCAACTGACATTTCCAACATAATGCTCAATAATGGAGACAATTGATATCTTTGCCTTGCTCCTGATTGGAACAGAACATTTCATTTCTCCAAAAAGTAGGTTGTTGGCTTTGAGATGGATGTATGTGCGTACATACATTAATAATATCATTATATATTGTATATTGTTATTAAGGAAATATTTATTTCCTTATTTCTTATTCCTATTTTATTGGGAGGTTTTTAAAAACATGAACAAGTGCCGAATTATTTTCAAATGCATTTTCCATATCTTTGGAGATGATCATATCATTTTTCTCCTCTACTAATATGATGGGTTATATGAATAGATTTCATAATATCAAACCATGAGGCACTCCTAGAATAAACTCCATATGGTCATGGTGAATTACTTTTTAAAACACTCTTGGGCATATTGCTAATTTTTTTTATTTTTGTCATCAATATTCACAGTGAAATTGATATTCAAATTAGAAAATAAATTTGTAAGTTTTCTTTAGTTTTCTATGCACTGGGATATTTTAAGTAGCATTTGGATTATCTGCTCCTTAAAAATTTGGTAGACATTCCCATGAGATGTTATATTCTTCTATTTTGATGATGATTAATTGTTAATTCTAATTGTGTATATTTGTGCTTTCTACCTTTTTCATTTATTATGATGATGCTTCTTTAGAGACAAGGTCTCACTCTGTTGCCCAGACTGGAGGGCAGTGGTGCAATCATAATTCACTGTAACCTCTGACTCCTGGCCTCAAGCAATCCTCCCACCTAGACCTCCCAAAGTGCTGTGATTACAGGCATGAGCCACCGCCCCCCCCCAGCTTTCATTTATTATTTTAATTGGTGTTTTTTTCTTTGTTGATTTTTTTAAAGGACTGACGTTTCTATTTACTAAGTCTACTGTTCTTCGTTTTCTATTAATAATTCATTAATTTCTGTTTTTCACATTATCAATTTTTTTATTCTACTTTTTCTTGGTTTATTAGCTTTGGGAATTAGATATTTAATTGATATATTTTCAGTTTTATTGTTATGATAAATCCTAAACTTTATCCTATAGCCTAAAATTTCTCATATGTTATATTTAAATTTTGTATTTCTCCTTTGAAGAGTTGTTTAATTGTGTGTGTGTGTGTGTGTATATGTGAATTTCCAGGAGGAAGGATCTTTTTTCCTTTTGATTGATTTTATTTTATATATTCAGAGAATGTTGTTTGTATATTTCTATTTTTTTTTAAATTTCAGAATATTACAGGGGTACAAATGATTTGATTACATAAATTGGTTTTGCACTGTGCCCATCCCCCAGATAGTGTTCACTGTACCCATTAGGTGTAATTTTACCCATCCCTTCCTCCCCCCCAACCTGCTTGATTTCCGATGAATGTTATTTCCATATGTGCACATAGATGTTGATCAATTATTTCCAATTTAATGATGAGTACATGTGTTGCTTGTTTTTCCATTCTTGTATTTCTATTCTTTGGATTATTGAAGTCTTCTTTGCAACCTAAAATTTCACTTTTGTGAATGTTCAATATGCATTTGAAAGATCTTGTATTTTCTGTTAGTGTACATAATTTGTTATGTATCTATGAGATCTGCCTTATTGATTATTTTATGTCTTTTATATCCTGAGTAATTTTTTGTTATCTTGATTTTCTTAGATTGAGAGAGATGTGTTCAAGTCTCCAATGTTAACATATTCTTGTGTTTCTCCTCGCATCTCTTGTAGTTTCTGCTTTATAAAACTTGTTATATTATTTGTCAAGCAGGTATTAGTAATGGTTACCTCTTCATTATGAATGGCAGTCTTTAGCATTATAAAGTATTCTGCTTTTGCACTTAATGCTTTTTGATGCAAATTCTAGTTAGTCAAACACCAAAATTGCAAAGAAGGAGATTGAGGTTGTTATTTATCTAAAATAATACTACAGACCTCAAATTAAAATTTAGGACTTTCAAACTAAATATCTTGTACTCTGATAACTTCTACGCAGAATCTAGTGGCCATGATGAGGGGGGCGATTGGCTTGCTTTGCCAGCACTTGAATAAATAGTGGTCAATTTATAGTGAGGAGGACATGCCTGACTGTATTTCTGAAGGACAGCAAGAACCTACATTAAAGGTCAAGTTTCGATCTTCTTATTTGTAAATAATTATTCTTTGGTACCATCCAGCTAAGAAGAGGGAAGAGGAATAAATCATTTTATGAGGAAATACTTTGAAAGCTGTGTGAACATGGACAGTTAAGCTGTTTAAAAAGGGGGATAAACATAAAGAGATAAGCATTCTAATCAAATATGTTGTTGCTAGGAATATCTAAAGAGTTCACAAAGCACCAAGCTACCTAAAGAAGTTCCTGCAATGGAGCAAGGTATAGATCTGGCACATTAGGGACTCAAATGGTTTGAGAAAGGGACCATAAATTATACTGTCTATCACGGAGACTCAGGATCATGTCTTACACATTTTTTTTTTGTCTTTCAGTGCCCAGGACACTGAACCTTGACATAGCAGATACTCAAAAAAATTCTTAAGGAATTGAGATTGAGATACCTTGCATTCAGAGACCGTGATATTTTTAAAGAAATTTCCGTGGAAAGAATACATGTCATGCACAAGTAACAAACATTTAAAGTGTAAATTGGTAAAAAAGTAAAGTGTAAAGCTAAATTGGATACGTAGGCCAAGGACAAATTTTAAAAGGCTTGAATGCCAGGCTAATGAGTTTGAATATTATTCAGGACACAATAAGGAACCCTTGAGGATTTTAGATCAGTTGGGTGGA